CTCAGGTCCGTACGCTGCAGGGCCGGGGCGCGAGGAGTGGGCGATGCTCTGGGGCCTTGCACGAGCTTCTTGGGGTGGGGATGGTTTGGAAGAAGCTGGGAACGCGCAGTTGGATGGGTCCTTGGGATGGCACCGGTGCCAGAGATACCGTAGCCACCACCTCTCGGCTGGGATGCAGTTAATGGTGATGTGAACTTACTGCTTTGGTTACAGCTGGGAGAGAGCTTTTAAATGAGCCAGGCTTTGTGGCAGAGCTCCTGCCGAGCTGTAAGCCACTGGAGAGCTCCCCTGGCACAGGTTTAAGCTTACCTCAAAGCAAGGCTTTGCTTTGTCTTTGGACTCTTGATTTCTACGTCACTAAAAAAAAAAATTGGGGTGAGTTTTGGGGATCTGGAGGCCAGTGGTTAAAATGCTCCCCAGCATCAGTGCTGGCTCAGTGCTGGGCGGACATGGCTTGTGTCTTGCACTGTTTGTTGTGACTCTGCCTTTCCAAAGAAAACTATGATTAAATTTGGCTCCGCTCTGAGATCTGCAGTCAGCGCTGGCTGTGCGAGCAGCTGAGGCTGGTGCGGCCCTCGGTCAGCGAGCGATGGAAGAAACCTGCTGGGCTGGAAACATGGAGGGGACTGATGGCTGGGGGCTGCGATGGTGGGGGAGGCCAGCCATGCTAATGGTGGGGAATTTCCTTTTCCTCACACTTGTCAGTCCAAACCAACGGGGACCGGGGGCCGTGTTTTGGACCTGGCTCTCAGCTGCGTGAACTAGCACTCGGGGGAGATGCAGTTTTATTTCTGCTGGAGTGGCCATGGGTTTTGCAGCGATACCGCCAGCTTAAAACGAGCAATCCCTTCATTTCCGTGTGATGCAGCAGCCGTATGGTTTAAGAGAATTAGAGCTGCTCCCCTCTCCTCCACCCTCGTGTTCTGGATTTCCCTGGGGTGTTAAGCCCAGATGCTGCAAACAAGCTGGGTGGCATCTCATCTCCCATCTCTCTGGTCCTCCCCATTAGTGGGATCACAGAGACCCAGAGAGGGACGTACCCTTAGGTGGAAGCCTTTCCTTCAGGGCATTTTGGAAATGCTTGCCCCCTCCCTCAGGCTCCCAAACCCTTATCTCCACTACCGAGAGCTTTGTGCAGTTGTGGGTGTTCAGCGCTGCCCGGCTTGTGGCTGTCCCTGACTGTCCCCGGGCTGTCCCCTGTGATCTCTGCAGGCTCTGGCTCTGATTGAGCTCTACAACGCTCCCGAGGGCCGTTACAAACAGGATGTGTACCTGCTGCCGAAGAAGATGGGTGAGTGAAGGGAACCCAGACTGACTTATCCCCTGGCCTGCTGTGGGCCAGCACTTTTGGACGTAAAAGAAACTGGGCTGGACAAAACTTTCAGGGAGAGGATGAGTTCAGGGAAGGCATCAGAGGCAGCAACCTTAAAACGCTTGCAGGTTGTTAGATTTATTTTCCTTGATGTTCTGCAGCGTGGCAGGCGTTCCTTATCCTGCAGATTCATAGAATTGTTTAGGTTGGAAAAGACCTTTAAGATCATCCAGTCCAACCATTAACCTAACACTACCAAGTCTACTGCTAAACCAATCAAGGGGAGAGTAGCAACCCCATGCCTCCTGGCTTGGTGGCTGGATCATTTATAATGAAAGTAAAAACTAGGAATCATTAAGATTGGAAAGGATCTCTAAGATCATCAGCCCAACCATCAACCCAACACCCCCATGCCCACTAAACCATATCCCAAAGTGCCACCTCTGCCCATTTTTTTAACACCTCCAGGGATGGGGACTCCACCACCTCTCTGGGCAGCCCGTTCCAATGCTTGACCACCCTTTCCATAAAGAAATTTTTCCCAATACCCAATCTAAACCTCCCCTGGCACAGCTTGAGCCCATTTCCTCTCGTCCTATCGCTAACTACCTGGGAGAAGAGACCAACACCCCCCTCCCTGCCCCCTCCTGTCAGGAGCTGCAGAGCGATCAGGTCTCCCCTCAGCCTCCTCTTCTCCAGGCTGAACACCCCCAGCTCCCTCAGCTGCTCCCCATCAGCCCTGTGCTCCAGACCCTTCCCCAGCTCCGCTGCCCTTCTCTGGACACGCTCCAGCACCCCAATGTCTGTCTTGTATTCCTTGCTCTGAGGCTTTTCAGGCAACCCCTGTGCCTTCTGATGCTCATCCAGCCCTGCTCAGCACCAGGGCTTGGGCTCAGCTCTGCCGTAGGCTTAATGTGATGGTGAATCCATGGTGCTAGATGGCAAGGACTGCCTGGCCAGACCCGGCATGGTGCCCCGGCCCTTTTGGTGCCATATGATGAGTCCATACATCATCTCCCCGGCAGTGCAGTGGGGGACGTGCACCCCCTGATCCCCTCTTTCCCCCTTCCCAGACGAGTACGTCGCCAGCTTGCATCTGCCTTCGTTCGATGCCCACCTGACAGAACTGACGGACGATCAGGCAAAATACCTGGGACTCAACAAAAACGGGCCTTTCAAACCCAATTACTACAGGTCAGTGCCGGCCGGGGCAGGGAGC